GGACCCCTCAGCCCACCACTCCCGCCCTGCACACATCTCCCTGTACCCCTTGTCCCCTCCTGCACGGACCCCTCAATCCCCCACCTCCCGCCCTGCACACATCTCCCTGTACCCCTTGTCCCCTCCTGCATGGACCCCTCAGCCCACCACTCCCGCCCTGCACACATCTCCCTGCACCCCCATGTTACCACTCTTCCCAGACCTCCCATGAGCATGGCAGGGTAGGAGGTTCCACTGAGGTCACAGCTCATATCCGAGCTGCTTCCAGGTCTCACTTTCTGGGGATTCTTATCCTGGTGAGTGTGTCCTCCCAGCCCCAGAGGACACCATCCCCACTCTCGGAGGGTCAAGGAAGCATTCCCCAAGAACAAATGGGAAGTAAGAATACTGAACAGGACTGTCCTCCCACCCCAGCTGAGAGCCAACCACCAGTGAGACCCCGAGGCTGGTGGGTCAGGGTTATGACTCCAGATGGTGCCGTGGTGACTGTAAGACAGACAAGACTGGGGCCAGGCACGAGGCCCTAGGAGGGGCGGGATGATAGGAATCTTTGGGTGGCTGTGCTGTGGCACCCCACTGAAGTGGCGTCCTCTGTCCCCAGATGACCTGGACGTGCGGTACACAGCCGTGAGCAGCTTCATTTTCCTGAGGTTCTTTGCTCCTGCCATCCTCTCCCCCAACCTCTTCCAGCTGACACCTCATCACACGGTAAGAGGTCAGCCCGTGAGCTAACCTGTCCTCCCCTAGTCTGGCCAGTCCCCTGAGCCTGCCCACACGTCAGCAGGGGAGAAGGTGTGAAAGTGGGAGGGCTGTCTCTTCTCTGTCCACAGAGACATTCAGCAAACTTTCTGCCCCAACTTCTCTGTGTTGCTGGAGGGATCAACAGTTGGGTGTTGTGACGGGGGCCTTGGCTGTCACCACATGCCCTGTGAATACCTTGGTGTGCTTCCAATTCTGTGCACATTCATGCATCTCTTTGTGTCAAACATTGTGGATTGTGCCATGTGGCAGGCCCTCTCTGGTGCTGAGGTGACAGTTGAGGGTGCCCGGGGGAGAGGCTGGAGAGACTTTGCGTGGTGGCCCTTTCTGCTTCCCTTTGATTGAAGCCAGCATCCCTCTGCCTGTGCAGAGTGGCCCTGGCGCCTCTGCTTACCAGGTGGGAGGGCTGGAGGAGGGAGCCCTTCTCTGTTCACGGTGCCAGGGTCCAGCACCCAGCTGAAATGCAGGCCATCTGGGGTGAGACACCGTCCCAGGTGACTGGGACCTTCTGGAGCCCGAGACCAGGAATTATCCAGGTCACCCCAGTGCCTGCTTAGGCCATGGCAGCTTTTGGACAATGCCACCCATTTTGTCCTCTGTGTCACTCTGGGATCGATCACAGCGTGTCCTAAAACTGGAACAAGGCCAGGTTTCTCTTGTCTGCCTCCGACAGGACCCACAGACGTCAAGAACCCTGACACTTATCTCAAAGACCATCCAGACTCTCGGCAGCTTGTCCAAGTCCAAGTCTGTGAGTCTCTTTCCACCCGTCCAGGAGCTCTGCTTTGTTTCTCTCTTTAGAAAGTGTAGATGAAGCGGTCCACACTCAGGAGCGAACCCCAGGGACACGGAGTGGGAAGCACCCCAGCCTTCCAGTGCCTCCCGTGTCTCTGGCCTCGGGGGAGGCCCGCAGTGCCAGGGGCCTGGTTCCTCTGACTTCTCTCAGTCTCCTGGGAAGGTAGCCAGGCCTCCTAACCGATTGTCCCACCTCAGCTTTGCTCCTGGTCCCCTAGTGGCAGAGCTGGGAAGGTCACCTCAACCGTGAGCCCCCGGGATGCTACGTGGGTGCACCTGTGGGTGGGGGCGTCCTTGGCAGGAGGAGCAGAGCCCAGCCACAGTCTTGGTGACAGCCTGCACTTTCTGTCATCATCACTCCCTCAGGCAGGTGCTGTGCTAGAGGGTCCCTGTCCCTCAGGGTCTTCTACCCCTGGACTGCCATCCTATTTCCATGCAAGCAGGCCTCTTGACTCACAGCTTGAAAAGCAGGCTCTAGGGCCAGAGCTGGATGCCAAGTCCTGACTGGGTATACGAACTGTCCATGGCCAGGTGAATGGGGGTCTGTAGGAGCCCCCTCCCTGACCTCCAGGGCCTCAGGTGGGATCCCTGAAGACGAGGAAGCTTCTGTGGAGGCCCAGAGGCAGTGGCTCTTCCCTCCACACCCAGGTGGTGGGAACTGCAAGGTCTTCACACCTCCTGTGTACATCCCTACCCCAGGGGACCCCACAGGAAGTGCACTGATCTGCACCAAACCCCGAGTGGTGGCCAGAGAGGTCTCCCCGGGTCCCCAGGCTGTGACTCGGCCCCTGGGCCGGGCAGCCCGAGACAGCAGGGGCCTGCTCCCTGGGGCACTGGAGCACCTGGGGGCCGTTCACAGCTCCAGGAGCCTGAGGCAGGACTTCAGCCAGAGCAGACACTGGTCCTCTCGAGCACCACCTGGGCTGGCCACAGGCACCTGAGTCCGATCTGGGCCCCCCACCAAGACCCCGGCATCACCTGGCGCCTGGCTTCGTTTCAGGGCAGTTTCAAGGAGGCGTACATGGCGACCTTCTACGAGCTCTTCAACGAGCAGAAGTACGCAGATGCGGTGAAGAACGTAGGTACACGTGTGTGCAGGGAGCCCGCACCCGGGGACCTCACACGTGGGGGCCTGCAGGCGGATCATGCCCCGCTGGCTGTCCACTGTGGGCCAGGTCCAGGGCCACCTGCAGCCACCCTTGAGCCGATTGTTGGCCGACGTCCATACCTGCAGCACAGTCCTGTCCCATCATGGCCACAGTCCCTGGTGCCTCTGTCCCAGCTAGGTCGGGGACACTGTGGAGAGTGCCCTGCACCCTGTAGCTTGGCCATCCCCACCCCCTCAAATCAGAGGGCAGAAGGGGTTGGAGCTCAGAGCAGCCTGTTGGTGGGAGGGATCTGAGAGGCCCTCGGATGGGGCGGGAAGTCAGTGCCAAACCCGGTCCCCAGGTGGGACCACTCGTGGCCAGGAAGAACAGCGGGGCCAGGCTGGGCCTGCCTCTGCCGTGTGTCTTGGGCGCCGGGAGGGTGCAGAGCTTTCCAGTGCCTGGCTCCCCGTGGACAGGCCTGGCAGGGTCGGGGCAGGGCTGCTGCCTGGAGACTCCCACAGGCCTCGGGACCCTCCTGCTCTCTTCCGCAGCCTCGACAGGCTGTGAGGGAGAGAGGCATCTCGCCGCCGTCACTGTCGGGGAGTTGCATTCAGACGGGCTGCCCTTCTCATGGCCTGATTTCCTCCCTGCTTTAGTTCTTGGATTTGATTTCATCCTCTGGGAGAAGGGACCCCAAGAGTGTCGAGCAGCCCATCCTGCTCAAGGAAGGGTAAGGCCTCCGTCGGACCTGGGAGGAAGGTGGGTGGGCTTCCAGCCAGGGCTGCACAGCTGCCTGTCCTTGACTTGAGGCCCCAGAGCTCTGGTCTGGCCCATGTGGACAATGGCTTGCAAGTTAGGGTCAACCTGGACCTTTCCTAGCCACTGGCCTGGGGCGGGGTGGGGTCCCGCCTCCTCATCCTTTCCCTACCAGGCTCCTCTGGGCAGGCACAGCCCACTGTGGTTGCTCAGGGCCTCTTCTCTGTGGGCTTTGCAGAGTGTCCACTCTTGCTTCTGAGGGGTCTTCTGTCAGGAAACCAGGGTCACAGGAAATGAGATGGGCACTCGGTCCCAAGGGCCTCAGCCAGGATTCCCTGCGGTATCTTGGAGGTCCTGGAGGTGGAAGTGCTGTGACCTCTCGGGGTTCTACCTCAGCATGGGCATTTCCTGCCTTGGCCTCACCCGGGGGTCTGGGGCTCCAGGGGCGGCACGACACCTCTGCCCCTCATTGGCACGAACTTGGGCAGATGCACCCGGTTCCTGCAAAGCCTGCTGGGCTGGCCCCCGTTTCAGCTACCACTCTGAGGCTCTCAGCTTCGCCGCGCCCCCAGGCCCAGGAGCGGCCCCGGACCATGGCCCTGTCGCTGTTTTTCTTTTAAAGCAGCCACGTGTCGATGGTAGCACAGGTGGCTTCACACAGTCACACTGAGCAAGCCTGCAGCCCAAGGCAGCACAGCCTTCTGTGATCCTTCCTGGCTGGCACACTGTATGTGGAGTGTGGCGATTGTAGAGTGACCTCCTGGTGCCGGGGTTGTGACCCTTCCCTGGGCCTCTGCAGCGCAGCCAGGTTCCTCCAGCTCTTCAGTGGCTGCAGCCCACAACTCACTGAGGTTTCGGTCCACGAAGACCCTTAGGCTTCTACCCCCAATTAAGCTGCCACCTTCTGCTCCCCAACTGATTGTCACCTGCAGTGCCATCTTGGGGGTGGGTCTGTCATCTTGCTCTGGGTGGTCATTTTGTCCTGTGCTTGTGCACACTGTAGACTCAGGGTGATAACCCTGCTCACTGAGGTTCACTCCATGCCGAGGTATGCCTGTACTCCTGCTCTTCGTGACCCTCCTCGTGTTGTCACCTGCCGAGATGCAGAGCCATGAGCCAGCTCCAGGGGCTTAGTGTTGAACCAACTGTGCTCACGTGGGGTGGCACACCCTGTTTGCAGTTGGCTCCCACCTCCCCTGTTCCACGGGTGCATGGTTGTGGTTAGAAATGGTCACTCGTGAATGAGGTATCTGGACCAAAGCTTGAGTGAGTGACCCTCACAGACCCTTTCTCCAGAGAACTGCCAACACCCTCCGGCTGCATGCACCTTCTCCTCCGTGCCCAATCAGCTAGAGGTTTCTAGGAACGTATGTGCACAGAATTTGCATAAACCCCATGTATGCGTGGCCCTCAGAAAATAGTGTTCCCACAAAATCCTGTAGCAGCATGTTTGTAAGACCTTCTACCCACGGCTCATCTGTCCCGTGACTGAGGATCTCTTAGAAGCGTTTTCTGACCTTTAAGGACAGTGGTGCCCAGCTGATCAGTGTGTGTGGAGGCTGCATGGGGCCCCTTGGGGTCTCAGCTGCCCTCCTGGCTTCCCCAGTCGTGGGAGGACAGCAGCATGCTGTGTTGCTGGCTGTGGACCCAGTTGGCCTCAGTTTCTGCCCAGATCATGGCAGAAGGCCCTGCCCTTAGCTCCCTCCAGACTGTTGCCCTGGCTCTCACAAGTGCACCTGTGCCCCGTTCTCTGGCCCACACTGTGAGGCCTTGCTGGCGCCCAGCATCCCCAGCTCCGCTCCTCAGGGTAGTCACAGCTCCACATTCCTCCAACAGAACACATATCTCCTGGTCCAGTGGCCTGGCCATCTGCAGCTCTGCTCTTTTCTGCCTCTGCCCTCCATCCACCGATGGGTGTTTCCTGCTCTTCCTGTTGGCTGCTGGCTGTGGTCAGGAATCCCTCACTCCCATGAGGCTCCAGGGGCCGCCAGGAGTGGTGTTGGGTGGGGGAGGCCGAGGTCCGACAGAAGCAGCCCGAACGAGGTTGCCTGGACACAGGAAGGCCATGGGCTTCCCCACACAGCAGGCACCACACAAGAAGTGTGCTCCCCACCACCCCCAGACCTGGCTCCAGAGCAGGCCTGTGTGGCCCTGTGACCCCTGCTACACTTCCTGCAGAAGGCCAGGCTATAGGAAGCCGGTCAGTGGGTGCTGGATGGGTGGGGGCTGGTGCTGGGGTCTCAGGAAGCCCTGTGTGGCCTCGCAGGTTGGGGTGCTCAAGGCAGAGGCACGTACCCCCCCTTCTAACCTGTTGACGGAAGTAGAGGAGAGCGGCACTGTGCACCCGTCTGCCTGCGCACCGTGGCATGACAAGGGGGCCTGACACTCAGTGACCACTAAGTGCCTTTGTGACAGGTTCATGATCAAGAGGGCGCAGGGGAGAAAACGCTTTGGGATGAAGAACTTCAAGAAGAGGTGGTTTCGCCTGACCAACCACGAGTTCACCTACCAGAAGAGCAAAGGTAACAAGAGTGGCCCCCCCATGGGTTTCCCACCCTGCTCGGAGGGCTCCGAGCCTTCTCCAGGTCCTGCTGGGCGAGGACTACTCTGTGGGGAAGCCTGGCAGGAAGCTTTGTCCCCAAGCACATGTCCTGGTCCTGCAGCCCCTGGCAAAGGTGGGGAAGACTCCTCTGCAGGAATTCCACTCCCACCCACCAGAGCGCAGGGTCCACCTGTGGGGGAGGCCTCCTGGCTGTACTTGATGTCCCTCTCCGCATCCCCCCCAGGCCGTGGGGCTGGTTTCTCCTGGGTCTGAGCAGCTCACCTTAGGAAGTTCTAGCAAATGACTTCCTCTCCTAAAGATGTGGCCCTGGGCTGGAGGCATGCCTGAGAGCTTATCAAGGTCCTGAGAAGCACCTGGCTCCTCCCTGCATGCCTGTGGCCTCTGGGGTCCTCAACTGTCTGGCTAGCGAGGAGGGCACCACCACGCACCACCACTTCAAGGCCAGGCACAGCACTCATGCCCTCTCTGCCACAGGAGACCAGCCCCTCTGCAGCATCCCTATCGAGAACATCCTGGCCGTGGAGAGGCTGGAGGAAGAGTCCTTCCGGATGAAAAACGTGAGTGCAGCCCTCTCCCCCAGGTGCGTCCCACGACCTGGCTCCAGGCCTGGATCTCCCTTCTCCTGTGCTCACCAGGCCCAGGGA